TTATCTCAACTTTTTTTTCCCCTCTATTACAGTATCTTTTGTGAATAATTCATATAAGTATATTCATTTTGCTTTTCAAAACAATGACAGGCTGTTTTATTTTAAGATCTCTTCTTTGAGCACAGCACTATACACTGCGGGTCTATAAAACAGTGATAAACAATATTCTTGCCCTCAGAACACTCAGCGTTAGGGGCACTTAAATAGCAACCTAGGAGAGTAGGTTACTGTGACATCCATCACAGGCTCAAAATAACACTGTGTACACAGTCGTGTTGACATTTCAGAGAGGAAGTCCCAGGGTGCAGAATGGTCAGGATGGTTCCTGGGGAATTCGAACCAGAAACAGGGGCAAGCCAAGGGCAGTCCCTTAGTCATGACCTTTTAAGTCACTCTCAGAAAAGCAGCCTTCACTCTTGTATGCTAATGCAACCTAAGGGCCCATTGTGTCCAGAGCTGTCTAATCAGGTACTGAGGAAATGATTAAACCCAGACCTTGATTGACTGACATCAGGGACTTTCCCCAATGATGATACTCTAAGGAAACCTGCCCGTGAGGTGTATGTCTGGGAAGAAATGACCAAGTCATTGTCATATCCAGCTGTTTTTAAGAGACCAAATGTCCAGAATATTGCTTCAACTTAATCCCTCATAAGGCCAGAAAACCTGTGAAGAAGCTGCACTGGATTAGGGACTTGCGGAAAGGCTTTGTGATCACTCTGATTCACACCCTTGCCCACCCTAGAGTGGACTCAGATTCTCGGGTCAGTGCTCTGAACACTCGGGTCAGAGATCATGAAAGGGCTTTTAGAGCTCGGTGCTAGCCCAGGAATTCCACCTCTTCCTGACCTTGTGCCTACCCTTAAGGGTGGCTTCAATGGTTATAAACTTTAAGGTTTATAGAAGGGATAATGTTGGGGGAAGGCTGACTTTTACTAGTCAACACACAGTCAGATGGCTTCTAGAAAGACACGTACAGCCCAAAGGAAGGAACTGATGTAGGGAATCATTGCTTCATGATGCAATGCCAGGTGCAGTGGAAATTATGAAAAATACCTTCCACATGTGCAAAAAGTTTCTCAGAAGAAATTGTGTTACGGAGAAGATGAAATTGTTTAGTAGTGTAGGGACTATAAGAGAATGAACTTAGATTTAGATAGTACCTCAAGACTCTATTTAGGATTAATATGCAAGGCTTATATATTGAGCTGAACATGGCAAGTCTCACTGGGAGGCTGTCAATCTCAACTTTACAGGAGAGCGTGGAAGATACCATTTTAAACATTGCATAAAAATTGAATAGTTTTAGAGAAGTCAGATCTTGGACTGTAGTCATATTGTGTGTTCTCCCCACCCTACCCCGTCAGTCCCCCAAGAAAAATATTTAGTCTAAGTCTTTGCTGGTCCATCAGTAAATAAATTGGATGTTTCATATTTAAGATACTAAGATTAATGTCCACATTTAAGATCATAATGCAACTTAGTGCTAGTTTCCATAGTACATAATTGGGTACTCCATAGTAGGACTCTGGCCAACCACGGTCTTTTTCTTTTGTTTCAAAAACACAATTGCAACACTTACAGTGAAATACAAAATAAGTATTTTAAGGAACTGAGGATGTAATTTTGATCCATTCAACTTTTACCTCACCCTTTTCTGACCCACAAATTTGTTAAAATATAAATAACCAGATTATGATCTTCTAGATAAAAATGTGTAATTCAACATCTTAAGCAAGGTATGAGGCTTCAGTAAAGGACTTGTTTCTTTGGTTTGATTTTTCTTTTTAACTTTCAGTAATTACAAATTGCTCTCACACGAGGTTGTTTATTTTTTCCTCGCATTGTGGAGACAGAAATATACACCTCTCTAGCAAAGCTACAAATGCAAAAAAAAAGTATTTTAATAGATCCATCATTTCTCCATTGGTGCTTGCAAAATCACGCATTGGCTCACCCCGGCCAGCGTGGCTCAGTTGGTTGGAGTGCCACCCTGTGCACCACGGGGTCCCTGGTTGATTCCTGGTCGGGGCACATACCTAGGTTGCGGGTTCCTGGTCCCCATTCAGGATGAGTATGCGAGGCCAATGTTTCGTTCTCTTTCCCCTTTTCTCCCTCTCTCTCCCCTCCTGCTCCCCGTCTCTCCCTTGCAGTGGACATTTCCTTGGGTGAGAATTTAAAAAAAAAAGCCATTGGTTTACTGACACCCTGTTTGGAATTACAATGCTATTTTTAAAGGCATTACTTTTATGCTTAGAATTGAGTTTGAAATTGAGCTTGTGTTTTGGTTTGAGGAGGGGAAAAAATGTTTATTAATAACAGAAGTGTAGCTTTCCTTTGCGAGCATCCAGCCACAGAGTCATAGTCTTTGCAAGCTGATTGAGACAAGGTCACATGGAGTCACCCATTCCCAGTGCCCAGGCTTCAGCATCTTTGCTTTCAGGCCAGTGGTTCCGGCTTCTGATCAGTAGGCAGTCCTTCTGCTTGTGGATAACTCTCTCTTGTTAAAACATCTCTCTGTCTAAAAGGCACACAATTGACCCTGGGCCTCCGTTTAGAGCAATGGTTCCCAAACTGTGGGTCCTGAGCTAGCAACACCAGCAGTGCCTGGAAACTTGCTGAAACACAAATTATCAGGTCCTACTCTAGATCTAACGAATCAGAAGAAACTGTAGAGGTGCAGCCACTCTATGCTGTAAATAGCACTGCAGGAGATTTGGGGGGCATGTTCAAGTTTGAGAACCTCTCCTGGCCAGAGAGCACTGATTCTTAAGTGTTAATTTCATAAGAATCACCTCGAGTACTTCTACAAGGTATGGAAGTCTGAGCCCCGCTCCTGCAGACTTGGCTTAGTGGTTCCCGGGGGTACCTAGTCATCCTTATCTTATAAAGTCAGCTGTGTCCTACTTAACCATCCTCACTCCATTCAAATCTGTCTTGACTAGTGTGGATTTTCTATAACCTCCTCCATCCTCTTCATTGGGTGACTTCTGTTTCTTAATGGTCTATTTATTTAATTATTAATCTTCACCTGAGGATATGCTTATTACTGATTTTAGAGAGAGGGCAAGGGAGGGAAAGAGAGAGAAAGAGAGAAACATCACTTGGTTGCCTCTCACATGTGCCCTGACTGGGGACCAAACCCTCAGTCCAGGCATGTGCCCTGAACAGGAATCGAACCCATGACCATTCAGTTTATAGGACAACACTCCAACCAACTGAGCCACACTGGCCAGGGTTCTTGATGGTGTCTTTAACAAGTAGTGCCTGGCTCAGAGAAGAGCAAGGCTGTTACCTTACTTGTTTTCCAAAAGTGGAACAGTTAGTAAGGTTGCCTGACATTACTTTTTTTGGCAGCCTCATTATATGTCTGACTCATACTGAGCTGGCAAACAACTGAAGGTAGATTTGTTTGTTATACTCATTTATGCTCTTTTTGCTAGGTAAAATGGGGATGAAAATAACATTTATTGAGTCCTTACTCTATGTCAAGCACTACATTAGCCTGTCAAGAAGTGAATCATAAATCATTTCATCCTAACAAGATGAGGTAGGCTTTATTAAGAGACACATTCTGAGGAGCTCAGGAGTAGCACAGTGGAGTCAGACAGCCTTGATTTCAACCTTGCATCCCTCTTGTCTGTCTCTGTGACCTTTGAAACACTCTGTGCCTCAGTTTTCTGGTATGCAAAACAGGGGTAATAGCCTTATCTAATAGGGTTGTTGTGTATTTTAGATAAGATTTCAAGCACTTCACAAGGGACAAGACCTGTTGTAAGTAAGCACTCAATAAATTGCGTTACTGATGTTTGGGAGGAAAGAAGTGAGCTGGAAAGTGGGTTGTGACCAGATTTTAGGTAGAAGTGCCTCTGGAAACCTGGCATTTTCCTTTAAGCATTATGTGAGATATTTAAGGGGGGAGTTTCCCTTTCAAGGCAGGGCACACACAAAAAAACAAAACCCAACAAATCTAAGTACAAAAACAGAAGGGTGGCCCAGTACCTAGGGAGCTGCCAGGAGGAGCAGCGTGGCTGGAGCAGGGGCTGAACCTGCACGGGCTCAGGGCACCTTCCCGGAAGCCGCCTCTGAATGACTGAACACACCTTTTCCCCAAAGAGATTTCCTGTGTTAACCCTACTAGTTTCTCTTCCTTCGGAAGTTAGCTGATGATTATTCTCTTCTTTCATATTTTCTCTTCTTCAGTTAAATGATTAGATGTTAGACTGGGGAGGAAGTGTATTATAAAAAAACCCATGTTTTGCTTCTTAGGCCTTCCCTACCCCAACCCCAACCCATCATGGGAGAAGGGGGCTGTGCTCCCTCCCCACCCACCTCTATGCTCCCGATATCCTGAGTATGAGGCTGGCTAATTGTGAACAAAAAGTCGCCTTCCCCAGCTGAGAAGGGGTTGTTTTGAAAGTCATTCTTCTTTTAATACAAGTGGTGTCAGAAATGGGATTGTTGTATGTATCAAGTGCATTATGGAAGGCTGTGATCTGAAGCAGGAATATATCTGGCATCTAGAACTAGAGAGTGGATACTTTTTAATAGTAGATTTTTTAATAAAAACTTATAAAGAATATTCTTTTTAATTTGATGCATGTACTCAGTACTATCAGTGTATTGATGGCATGGCAGGCCCTTGGACACTTGAAGAGATTGTTCACGTCAGTCTGGCCAAGGTAGAGCTGCTCAGAATTACATCACTTCGCTAAATTGGAAAGTAGAGTTCCGTTTCCCTCATGCTTAAATTATAGACCTTAAAATTTCAGAAACTGATATGGAATGCATGTTAAAAAAACAAACAAAATTGCCCTGCAGATCCTATTTGAATTTCAAAATTAACATATTACTTCAGCGAAGACCAAAATTGACGTATTACTTCACCTCGGGCACTCGATTCGTCTGCACGGGCCCTACGGTCATTTCTACCTGCCAGTCAGTTGACATGATTAACACTATTATTCTTGGGGCAGGGGGCGGGGGTGGGGGGAGCAGCGTTAAGTTAAGGAATGATGTGTGGAGCCAAGAGTGCGGCTTATTCAGTTGGATTCTGAATCACAATCAGGAAATAGTCTTTATCTGGTGCAACCATAATTTCATTTTTCTTAGAGCAAATTCGAAGGAAGGGGAGGTCATTCTGGGGGTCAATCTCACGCACAGTGCTCCGGGCCTTCAGGACGCAGTTGTGCATGAGGCTGGTGTACCGTGTGGTGGTGGGATTGTCCATGGTGCTCTTAACGGGGATCCCTTCCGTGTTCACCACGATGATTCCCTGCACTCCTTTCTGGCTCTGAAGTCGCTTCAGTGTCTCCTCCACCTCTGCCACAGCGGACCAATCGGGTAGCTCAGGTCTTCACTGCACAGCCCAGTCCGGATAAATTCTCATGTTTGGGTTTGGGATAAACTTTAATTAATTTCGTAAAACCTGAAGATCAGTTTTTTCTGAGGTGAATTCTTGAACTTGTTCCTCAGGTGAGTGAGTGTCTTGTTCGTTAGCCCCAGGTGAGCTCTCACTGGAATTAGGAAATTATTTTCACATACTACCTTTTTCACCCCAGAACAAAATGAACACCAACTACTTTTTTTTAGTCTTTGTTCTGCCTTTTCAGCCTTTTAGGCTCAGAGTTCTGAATATGTTACCAGAACGCAAGAAGACCTGGCCTCTTTTCATTGTACCCATTCCTCAGTTCTGCTTCAACATTGAATGTGACTTGATCATTAGAACTAATTAATGTTAGTTCAGTGCATCAGCTACATGGAAACATGTTTTCCATGCATTTTTACTGAAACAAAATGTATTTTGGTAAAAATGTAGGAAGTATATTAAAATCTTAGGTAGTTGATTTCAAGGCCCAAGGTTATTTAAATAGTGTGAAAGTATATTTGTTGGCCATTTTAAATATCTATTTAATTGGCAAAAGGCAGTTGTTGAACTGAAAGTGTGGTTTGAAATAAAAATATCTTTTGATTGGATTAGAAGCTGTGTGTGGTTCAAGGTGTGTTAGGAGACTAGGGTGTGCCAAAGGCTTTGAGCCCGGAAAGACCAGGTTCTCACCTAGATCTGACCAGTATCTACTGCGTACATAACGCAAATGACTGAACTTAGCCAGCCAGCACAGTTCATTCACTTGTAAAATAGACAAAGTAGTTCCTACCTCATGGGGTCGGGGTAGAAATCAGAGATCATGCTGTACATATCAAATCTAGACTTCAGTACCTAGTAGCCACTGTGTCATTTAGGTTGCATTATTTAACCGCTCTGAGTTTAACTGCAGATACCTCATCTCTAAAGGCAAGAGAAATTACTAGTTTCTACTCCAAACACAGCTCCTTGGGCAGAGCAGGTGTTCAGTGTTGTCTGCGGTGGTGCTCATCGGTGGTCATTGCTAACGTTTGCATCTGTCCCCAAGCTCTTAATGCTCACCCTCCCTTACTGAGGATGGTTTCAGAAGAAGCTGGTCCTTTTAGCTGTTGCCAGATCCTTGGCCATAATTTAGAGGAAGGAAAAACATAAGTGGAACAGAAAATGACTCAAGTTATAAAGTGAGGTAGTGGTAATAATGCAACTGAAGCGAAGGCACAGGTCCACATGCCCAGCAGAGTCCCTCCTCGCGGGCGCTCGGCTCATGTTCTGCACTGCTTGGGAGCAGTGGCGGTCTCGGAAGAAGGCAGGAGAGTAGCGACTCGAAACAACTCTAAATTAGCCCTTTAAAGTTCACCAGGGTGCTTTTGACTTCTTTTCTAGTTGTATGGTGGAGAATAAAATATTTAAATATTTAAAAAATATATAAAGTGCTTTCCGTATCCCTTAAGTAATCCTGTTTATAAATGCAGCAAAGACATTACTATCCACATCTTAAACTTAAGAAAACAGTGATGTAAAGGAGGTGATTTCCCCAAGGTGACCAAAGCGATGAGCAGCATTCCCACTACTAAAGAGAGTTCAAATGCTACTGTAGCATTCTCATTACTGTATATGTAAGGCAAAGACTGCATGCCTATCAAGTACTTCTCAATAAAAGATCACATAGAGCTGCAATGTAAGGAACCCAAGACTTATCAAAACACTGTGGAGGCTTTGGGGCAATAAGTGAAATTGCAAAAAAACAACAACAACAAAAAAAAACCATCAAATATTAAATTTATATTTTTCTTGATATTTGTATTTTATACAATGTTTTTTAATTCTCATAAATGATTCAGATCTTAGTATTTTTTTTCTTGAGCAGAACAATCTTAAACAACTCATTATCTCAGTAGCTAAGAGCTGTTTGGGCTGCGCGGAGCAAAACCCGGAATACAGGGAGCGCTCCGGAAGACTCTCTGTAAGCAGATGGAAGAAAGTGCCTTGACCTGTGGGATCTAGGAATACCTGCCCAGAGTAAAGGGACGGGTGGCAGTCTAGACTCTAGAGAGACATGAATATAAACCTTGAAGGTGAGGAAATTTGTTACGCCTTTGAAGGAAGGCTGAGACAATGTGTGGCTTAATTCCCTTTTCCTGAGAAGGGAAAAGGGGTAGTAAATTCTACCACCATGATTTCCACCTTTTAAAAAAGATTTTTCTTCTCCAGATGAAGAAAAATTTCTTATTTCCAATCATAGAAAAATACTCTTGTGTTAATACCACAAAGCTATTTGATAAGACTCAGGTTGGGAGACAGGGAAGAGTTGATTTTAGTCTTTCAATATTATATTGAGAAACTTGCATTGTCTGCAAGAGACCTGTTGTAGCCGCTGCTATAAAAGGACCTGGAAAAAGTAAGGCTCTTTAGTGGAATTTTTGCTATACTTCTTTAGAGATAAGTATTTGATACCTTTTGAATTAGGAGGCAGATATTCATCTAGTTTTAGGTGATTATGAGTAGGGCTGTTATTATTTGTGTTCAGATGTTTGTATTTACATAAATTTTAATTTCTCAAGAGTAAAGACCAAGAAGTTGGATTGCTGGGTCATATGGTAAGTGTATGTTAAACTTTATAAGAAATTTTATAGGAAAACTGTTTTCCATTGTGGCTATCATTTTGTATTCTCACCAGCAAAATATAAGCGTTTCGGTTGCCCCTTATCTTTGCCAGCATGGTATTAAATATTGGTATGTTAGCCATTTTAATAGGGACATGGTAGTATCTCACTGTCATTTTCATTTACATTTTTCTTATGGTTAATGATGTTGAATGTCTTTTCATGCGCTTATTTGCCATGTATATCCTCTTCAGTGGAGTGTGTGTTCCAGTTTTTTGCCATTTTTTAATTGGGCTGTTTATTTTCTTACTGTTGAGATTGAGAGGTCTTTATACATTCTGGATACAATTTATTTGTCAGATACGTAACTCGCACATACTCTCCCAGTCTATATCTTGTCTTCATTCTCTTAAAAGTGCAAAAGTTTTTTAATTTTTATGAAGTTCACTTTTCCAATTTTGTTCTTTTATGAATCATGTTTTCCACATGCTATCTAAAAACTCTTTACCTAATTTTAAGTATCAAGTATTTTCTCCTGTTCTTAAAAGTTTTTGTAATTTACACTTAGATCTTGTGATCCAATCTGAGTTAAGTTTAGAATAAAATGAGCTTTAGATTGATTTTATTTTTCCCCCTTTTGATAACCAATTGTTTCTGTTCTTTCTCCATTGAATTATTTTTGCACATTTGTCAAAAAAAATCAATTGACCATATTTGTGTGGATCTATTTCTGGAGTCTGTATTCTGTTCTATCGATCTATGAGTCTGTCTCTTTACTAGTACCACACTGTCTTGACTACTGTAGCTTTATAATAAGTCCTCTGTGAGGAGTTTTATAATTCATGAACACAGTATGTCTCTCCCCATTTAGGCCGCCTTCAGTATTTTCAGCAGTGTCTTGTACTTTCCATTTTTTTTGTTTCTGTATCTCAGTGCCCTTCCCCCATACTCTCTAGTACATCATGTTGAATGGGAATGGTGAGAGTAGACATCCTTGCCTTGTTCCTCATCTTAAAGAGGAATCATTTAGTCCTTTACCATTAAGTATAATGTTAGCTGTCGGTATTTCTACAGATGCCCTTGTCAGTTTGAGAAACTTTCCTTCTATCCCCATTTTGCCGAGAACTTTTATTATGAATAGATGTTAGATTTCATCAGATGCTTTTTCTGTATTAATTGATGTGATTATGTGATTCCCCTCCCCCCCACCTTGTTTAGGCTGTTAATATGAATTGGTAAGGGCTAGGGAAGGAAAGAATGTAGAACAGGCGGGGGAGGAGAGTAATGGGGGGTGTTGCCGTCCACTGTGAGCATCTGGAGGCCGCCTGCCCTCTCTCTGAGCCAGGCCCCTCCTGGGGCTCTGTTTATGCAGACGTCTGCTCCTGAGTGTCAGGGTGCAGCCAGTCCAGTCTGGAGCTGGTGGAGGGGAAGAGCGGTTAACTCACTGCTGGTTTGGTGATAGGTCAAATTCTCCCCCAAGTTCTCCAGCTAACATTTACTTTTTGACGTTCTTAAATAGCTGCCCATTTATTTTGTCTAGTTTAATAGCTTTATTCAGTGGGAGAGACAGGGTGGAGTGCACTCACTCCATTTCACCTGGAATTAATCTAGTTTGTTGAGGTTTTTTTTTTTTCTTTTTAACAATCTGCAGGCATATTATTATATTGACTTGCAGAATTATGTAATCTTTAAATTTGAAGAATTAAGGCTAATTTGAGTTCACAGGATGAATTTAGCTGTAGTGATACTTAAATATTTTCTATTTAAGTATAAGCAACAATTGTTCATGAGAAGTGCATAAACCTAACTTAAAGGAATATTTTAAACTAATCTGTTTCCTAAGAATTTATCTCTTTGTATTTTTTATCATGTGTTTTAAATACTATTTCAAATTCAGCTGAAGTTTAAATGTAACACCACACCGCCCAGTCGCCTCAGTAAGATGGCTGTGCACCCAGCAAGGGGCTGAGGGGGAAGTTTCCACTGGAGGCCTAGGAACAGGGCAGGAAGGGAAGGAGGGGACGCAGAGCTGGGAGTGGCCTTGAGGTACCCGAAGTTGTGGGAATGTCTGAGGCTCCAGAGAGAACTGCCATGTTACATGGAAGGAAGGAGGGAGAGCAGAGGGTGGGGTGGGCTGTGTGTGAGCCCTTTGGTCTGAGAGCAGAGGAGAAAGGTCAGCGAATGCCAGGAGGAAACAAGCTTCAAGAACATCTAGTCACTGCGGGAAGAGGTGCTGAGGATGCGGATGGAGCAGGGCCTTCAGTGTGTTGTATGATGGCCTTGGAGGACTGTTTCAGTCAACCAGGAAGGAAATAGAGGAAACAAGAAAAATAGAGAATAATAGTAGGATATTAATTAACATATTCAGTTTGTCTCTATTTGGTTTTAAATTCCTAGACCATGCAGGCAGTGTTAGTACCTTCATTACCCATCACAGGGCACAGAGTAAACAACAGTTAAGATTGTTGCGCACCTGTAGGACAGACACCCTGTGACCAGCCATGTGGGTGAGCAGGGGCTGTTGGGTGAGGCGGGAGAAAGGGAGTAGAAATGCCCTGTGGGAGAGCTGTTATCCTTTGTGAACTCTGAAGGAGACTCATTTGTTCTCTGTTTTATTTATTCTTTATAGCCCACTTACTTCCAAAACTGACTTTGAAGCAGCTAAAGGATGGTTAGAACAAAATATAAAAGGATGCCTTTAGGACATCTTCCCTCAGACAACAGCTTTTTTTTTTAATTAAAGAACTTAGGTATAGCTTGCTAATGTGCCTCTTTGTTGTTATTGTTATATTCACAGTTACAGTTTAATACATAGAAAGCTGTCTTGAATTACTGTTTTTGAGGGGTTTTTTTTCCCCAATTCCATGATAATTGTTTTAGGGACAAGTAATAAATACTTCACGCAATGTTTATTTCGTATGAGGAATTGCTGCTTCTTACACCTGCCATGTTTTTACTTTTTCTTTCTTCAGGATCAGGATTCAGGCCATAAATGACATTGGAGCTGGACCCTTTAGTCAGTTCATTAAAGCAAAAACTCGGCCACTACCCCCCTTGCCTCCTCGGCTGGAATGTGCTGCGGCCGGGCCTCAAAGCCTGAAGCTGAAATGGGGAGACAGCAACGCCAAGACGCACGCTGCCGACGACATGGTGTACACGCTGCAGCTAGAGGACAGGAACAAGAGGTGCGGTGGGGGCACGGGCAGATGCTGCGGCTTTGGC